TCAGCAGTGAGGCAGGGCTAAGCAGGGACTTGTAATTCCCTGAAAAAATCCATTTGTTTCCTTGCTGCCCCGCTCCCCACGTTGGCCTGCTTTAGATATCCACTCTCTTCCATCTCAGATATGGGCTGGAAAATCCCTATGCCTGCCTCTGAAAAATATCTGCATGGCACTGAGCATGATAGGATTTGGGTCTGGACTGGTGTATTCCAGTGCAAAAGCAACACAAACAGTGCCAATAATAATAGAAAATGTCATGTCACAGAGATGATCTTTAAGCTCCCTTCCAGCTCAAACCATTCCCTGATTCTACAACCATTCTGTACTCTTGGTGGCAGCAAGATGAGCAACAGCGTGTGCATGTGTGTGTCTGTTTCTCTGTCTGTGAGAGAGAGAGAACCAGGCAACAAATGACATTTAAAGGCTGTTATGGTTACAGAGTCAAGTAACTTGGGAAAACAGCATCAATAAATTTAGGTGTAAGTCCAGAATTGTGTATGGTTTTCCCTTTTGCTCCTCAGTCCCCAGGCAGTCCTTTTGTGTATGAAGCCCTATTAATGTCCTCTCAAATCTCAGGAAGGCTGTCAGGCTGTGTTTTTGGAGGGATGGCTGTTCTGATCACTTCTCAAACAAGCAAGGGCAGAGGTGACCCATGAGTCACAGAAAAGGCAAGGATCCTTTCTGACAGGACCAGACACACATTCTCCCAAATGTACAAAATCTTACTGCATTCCCAGCTTTGGTGGTTTTAAAAAAAGCCCCAAACCATCTGGACATTAAACCAGTCACTCAATTTGTGCTTACCAGGGACGTGTTACATCAGTTGGATGCACCATTAACTTTACAGCTCTTCGGCAGTGCTATAGGTGTGATGAGTGAGGAATGACAAAGGCTTTAGTCTAACTGTGAAATTTAGCTATTGGATTTATTTATAGCACCTGGCTGAGACGCAGAACCTAATTTTTTTTCACCCACACAAATTTTTTTGGTTAATGAAGTTACCTATGGTAGGAGTGGGGGAAAAAATCTGTCACCAACAAAATACATTTCTTCACTTCTGGGGATCAATTTACAGACTTTTCTGGGCCCCCAAAATTTTCTCACTGATGTGTGTGTAACTGGGTATGTACAGTGCCTAAAGAAGGAAATGGTTAAAGCTAGTTCAGAAAATAAAGTCAGAATTGGTGGTGGCAAGTGAGGTGAAGGGTGTAGGGGCTGAAGTCATAACAGGTCTTCCTTTGTCCTGGTATTTTCTCATCAGGATTAAACTCAGTTAACCCCAAATCTCCCATGCAACAAGCTTGCTTCTCATTAAGTGCAGGGGACAGTGAGACCCGGGGAGATGTGCTCTGCCTGAAAATATTGAACGAGAAACTGAGAGTGAAAAACACCAGTGCCTTCACAATACTTCACCAGCCTGAAGTTTAATCCTTTGACATCTGTAAGGTGGTTTAAAACTCTCCTTTATGGTGATTGACTGCACCCTGCAGATGACACCACGGGAATTTACTGTACTGAAACATGATACCTTAATGAAACAAACAAAAAAAAAGCCCCTTTCCTTCTAATGCAAGCAACTTTATCTGGTTTTCCCTTCAACCACGTAACGTGATTCAGAGATAAGACTCCTGTGGTTGCTAAGTTGCCATGATGGATTTCATTAAGGGGAAAATCATGTCAAGTTTATGTCAGCTTGATGGCAGCTGCTCTTTCAAAATACATCTTAATTATGGGTAAAAATACTAAGCCATAACTTGTGTACTTATTGCAAAAACCTCGGGGGTTTTTTTCAGGGCCATAACTCTAAGCATTAGCTCTTCACTGAGGTTAACATTTATTTATTTATAGCTTGTATACCGTAAGGAAGTAGCTCAGGAAATGCTACTTGATCATGGTGATTATTAGATATCTGTGTTAGTGAGCCCCATATTCATCTGTGTGTAATTACAGAATCACTGCCAGAATGCCCTAAGTTATGTCTGAGGACAAAAGACAGCTCTGTTTGTGAGACCATCACATGTCACCACTCAGAACTTCTTAAAAATTTGTAGTGACCTTCAGGATGAAGTTCTTCAGGCCAATATTGACTTTCTCTGCCTGTATGGAGTTTGGTAAACTCAAGATAAGTTTTGTTGTTGTTATTTACAGATGGGAAAAGATTATTTGAATTATAAACCCCAGCCACAAATTTGGGGGGGAAAGGGGGAGTGCAACCCAGGCAAGTAGAAATGGCTCCATTTAAAAATGTTGAAATGGTGGGTTTTGGGAGTTTTGCAGCCACAGCAAATTTTAAAACCTAGATGAGAAATAGAGAAGCTGTGTTGGAACTCCTGAGCCTGCAAGAGTGTGTTCACATGTGCCACTACACTCGAGTGGCTGGCCTATGAAGTTAATCACACACATGAGAGTTTTCAGAACCAAAGCCAGCATTTGGGAAAAAACAATGAGTTTTCATGTAAGTAAACACTTCAGTACAGTCTTCAAAAATATTGAGCTCACTGCAACTGCAATAGAAGTTTTAGTCACTACCCTGAATTGAGATTATGCTCCTTTTTGAGGCTGAAATGACAAACGCTTTTGACCAGAAGACAGAAGTCTGATGAATATCCTTGATTCTCTATCTCCCTTGTACAATAGCAGTAATTTTGGGAGTAAATTGTAAAGAAAATGTGCTGTGCTTCTGGTGGCGGGGTGCTTCACCTTTATTCCAGTATTAAAATGTAATGTTATTTAATAGCAGTGACTGTTAAGATGCACAATATTGTGACACTGACTGTACCAAAGTGGGTGCTTTGGAAAGGAAGGATGAACACGAGAAGAAGCTGAGGTGTGGGTTTCTTCACAGCTGATTCACGTGGTGTCTGAGCATCTATTGATTACACACTCATGACAATTAATTAATTTGAAATATCAGATCACCACTTGCTGGAGAGGGGATCTCCACACAGAGCACGGGGACACGGTGTTGATAAATGGTGAATAATTAGTCCAGGTTGTGTCAGAAGGCTGTGGCAGGGCAGGGAGTTGAGGTGGGGGCTCTGCAGCCCACCACACTGAGCACAAAGCTGCCACCTCCACTGCGGCACTCGGGTCTGGAAACCACCACCTCCAAGAGATCATGCAAATCACTCTGCCCTGACTGAGTAATAAAAGTGCCAACCACCCAGAGCTAAGGGGCTTGTGCTCTGCGAAATTACGGGGAAATAAAATCAGGGGGGTTGTGCGAATCACCCCCTTCAGCCAATGGGACTGAAAGAGGTAAAAGGGGGGAAAAAAGTCTATTTGTGCATCAAAAACTACTCTGGGATGACTGTGTAACTACAGCACAGGGATAAGGGGGTAACTACAGCAGTTATAACAGTACATACAGTATCCCTGAGCTCCAGTTGTGGTTATTTTGTTATTTGACAGCAGAACCGCCCAGAAGCCGTGATCAATCCCCTATAAAAGGTAATGGTTTTCTTCTGGACTGCGCTTTGGATTCTGCAGCATGGCATGTTGGACAAACAGCATCTGGGATCCGGGCTGACTTCCTGCTAGAAACCTCGGTCAGGATAGAAGGAAAGGCGATGTATTTAGAAAACACACGGAAAAACCCCATAAGGCTGGATGTAAGTATAAAGTCATGTATTTTTGCACACACAGTGTTTATGGTCCTTTATTAATTGTACTTGTGTGGGGTTGCTGATGACAGGTGGCCACGGGGGCTGCCCCATGCCGGGAGACACCGCGCACCGACCGAGGAGGAGGAGGAGGAGGAGGAAGAGGAGGAGGAGGAAGAGGAGGAGGAGGAGGATG